AAAAAAAAAAAACCAAAAAAAAAAAAAAAAAAAATATAAACAAAAAAAAAAAAAAAAAAAAAAAAAAAAAAAAAAAAACCCACCAACGAACATGATTGAACTCGTTGGGTGAAATGGTGGAGCAGTTTCCCACCCTCATAAGAACTTTTCAAACCAACTCATCCTGACATAAAATAACTACCCAAAAAGGTAATAACCCAACTGTCACTTGTGGTTCAGTTCACCCTCATCAACATACACTCTTATAGCTAAATAAAAATAAAAAACATGGGCATGCTCTATTTTATATCTTCACCTTTTGTGAATTTTTTTCCCAATTCAGTAGCTCTTTGTTTTACTAAGAACTGAAGCATATATTTCGAGTCTTGAAAATGTTTGATATCCTTTTTGGATGGAGAAAAGCTTCTAAATGGTAACTGGGAATTTTGTTGAACTTCTTTTTTTGTTAGTAGTGTACAATTCAAGGTTTCAATGTTCGACTGGTTTTTTACAGTAAGAAACTGATACGAATGGTTCAGTGTCGTCTAAAACTGCTCAAGAACAAGAGAAGTTGCATCGTGAAGCAGTTGCGCGAGGATGTGGCCGAGCTTCTACGATATGGGCATGAACAGAGTGCATTTGACAGGGTAATTCAATAGAATTTTACTTTACAAACGCAATAAATATGTTTTCTTCTATGTGAATCAGGGTTGTTAATGATATTATTGGTTTATATATAAGAAATTGAATCTTCTGCTTAGATGAGCTCGTTAACTATATAGGGAAGGGGGCAGAAGCCACCATAATCAAATTAAAACAAGGATAAAGAAACAGAGTACCTAAGCGAGAACTTAAAATGATCTTTTAGGTGTAAATGGAAGTAGTAAATAACATTTTTGTAGAAATCGAAGCTGTTACATGCTTAGAAGTCATTTGCTACTTTAAATATTGCTATTTTCAGATGTAAGATTTTCCATAAGACTTGTTTTCTAGTTTCGACTCATATATTGCAATGAATTTTCAGGTTGAGCAGCTATTCAAAGATGAAAGTATGGTGAAAGTATATGATCTGATTGAGAATTTTTGTGAATATATAATCATTAATCTTTGCTACATCCGCAAACACAAGTATGTCTTGCTATATGAATTCAACTGCATCCTTTTGTCAATAGTCCTTTTTATGACAAAGTGGATTGTTTTTGGTTACATTGTAGGGACTGTCCAGATGACATTAATGAAGCAGTGTCGACTCTGATTTTTGCATCAGCAAGATTTGGGGATTTGCCAGAACTTTGGTCCATTAGGAAACTCTTTGGAGAGCGCTATGGTCAGAGTTTCACAACGGCAGCGCTTGAATTACTCCCTGGAAATCTTGTGAACAATCAGGTTGTCTACTCAAATTAATGTGGTTTATTTATAGAGTAGTACATTGATTTAGCAATAACTAACTATTCAAATTTATCGACTTATTTAATTGCAGATCAGGGAGAGTCTTCCCATACTAAATGTGCCAGATGAAGTGAAGTTCAAATTGTTAGATGAAATTGGTAGGACTTGCGTTGAGCGAGGGTTGCTGTTGCTTGAGTACAAACCCGAGTTGAAGGAAGAATCGGTAATTTATTGCTCATCTACTGTACTATGATAATAGGAACTTTTAGTTTGATATTAGGGATTTATATCTTACAAAACTGCAGGTAACCAAAACTATCGGCAATAAGATTTCGAGTAGTGATGACCTTGAAATGCCAGTTTCTATCATTGAAGAGACAGAAGGAAAGATTGTATACATTGATCTGTTGTCCGAGAAGCAAACACTTCCAAAAAGTGCATTCAATTCTTACAAATTTACAGAAGTCCAAAACTCGGCTCACATTATAGAAGAGAAACTAGAAAAGTCTTTACAGCTTAATGATATGGTTAAATTTACTGTTTTAGAGTTTATTGGTGAAACTAATGGTGGAGGCATGGCGGACGAATTGTCTTCAGAAATTTCAGTTCGACTACCAGAAGATGATGACATTGAGGAATTTGTGTCTCCATTGAGTAAAGATGGAAATTTTCAGGATCAAAGATTATTCATGTTCAAATCATCTGCCATTCCCTTGAAACCTAAAATAGATTATGCAAACGAGAATGATCTTAAGGAAAAAATCATGCCTCGAAATGAGAAGGTATCAAAAAACTCAGGTGGGAAAAGATTGAGAAGATCAATTTCTACAGAGAATGAAAATGTGAACGACGTTGAGTGTGCAAACTACAATATAAAATCTCTTAATCGGAGGAAGCATCAAAAGAAGATTTCAGTCGAAGACAAGAATCGAATTCCAGAAAATGAAAAGCACACTTACTCTGTCAAAGTCCAGAGCAGCTTAAGTTTTGTCAAGTACAGAGAGAAAGACTTGAGTTGTAGAGAAACCGAGGTGTTTACAATGCATCATAGTCTAGATGAAGAAACTAATCAATATGGAAGAGAAACGGAGACTGAAGAACCCCATTTAAGGGCAATGAGTATGCCTACAGAAAATGTTTTAAGGTCGAATTATTTCCCACTTCAACAAATTAATGGATATCGCCATATCCATCCAAAGCTTCCAGACTATGATGAACTAGCAGCTAAGTTCATTGCTCTCAAAAAAGCAAATAAGCAAAACCAACTGATTTGATCAGTATTTTCTCTCATCTGTTTAATAGGAATTCATGGCTTAATTTTTCTCTTATCTTTCTTTGTCAATTAACTTCTCCGAAATGAAAATCCACAATAAATTGAATGTAATTCATAGTCTATGGCATTGTGTAAAGTTGTATTTTTGTCAGTTGTTCATGATTCCCATTATGTGCACATTTTTATTGTTGATGTGATAGAGAATATGTGGTTGAAAAAGAAAGAAAAATTATTGATGTGATGAAAAATATTATTTTATTGAAAAATGTGTGATTAAAAATGAATAAAAGAATGAGAATGGAAAAAATAATATGGCTTAAACGTTTATTTTCACCGTGAATAAAAAATGGAACAATAGACATTTAGTGGACTTGACGACAATTAAAAAGTGCCAGCATTTCAATTACCCGTCGACAAATTAATTTTGCATTAAACAATTTAACGTATTACCCATTACATATAATATACCCAACTCTACTAATTTTAGTTAACTACCTCCCTCGTTAAACTAGCACAAATTGAGTGTATTAATCTACTATATCTCTACGTCGATTAATAACATAATCAATTGCATTAATTTTTGTGAGAATGACTCAAAGGATCATCTAAGATTAGGAATATATACAAGGCTGTCAATGTATTGGATTTTGATCCGAATCGATGAAATTAATAAGAGATGGATTTAATGTCTCAGTCTGATAACCCGATTAACAATCCGATAATCTGTTAACTAAATGAAGCAAATATGAATAGAAGTTAATCCAATTCGATAACAATCCGATCCGATTTGTTATAATAATATAATATATTTTATTTATTATCGCATAACTTATAACTTGATTTTTTCATTTTGAAACTTATATTATGCTTTGCACATAATTTTAAAATAATAAATAATATTGTTAATTGAAATATTTCAAAAGTTTTAAATTTTTTTTATTAATTAAAATAATAAAAAATATTAATTTATTTTATAAATTAAAAACAACCAAAGGGATCAATAATTGAGGTTGTTTTCATTGTTCCCAACTTCCCACTTTCCACATATCGGATGTTCACTAGAATATCACACAATTTGCAATCTATAAGTATGTGTCAAGAATTGGGTAAAAAGATATATGGGTCTTTTAATTATAGGATTTAGAAGTTGACTAATATAAAATTGAGAATAATAACATAACTCGTACATACAGGAACTTCATTTCACAACTAACAAATTCTTTAAAATATTTCATAAATAAGGTGATCAATAATAATAATAATAATAATAATAAAAATAATAATAATCACAAAGAAAATAGACTTGGTCACACCCGATTTCTGTGACCACACCACTCCCAAAAAGGTCAAGAACCAAATGTGCACAACCTCACCACGACTACATGCACCACCAGCAACAAAACCATCATCGCCGACATCACCACCAGCAGAACTACCAACGAACCACAGATTAGAAAATCACAGCCACCATTTGTAAATAGCAACAATCATCCCAAAACTCCGGCTAAACAAGATCAAAAAATCACCCACCCATAGCGCAAATCACCCAGATCATATGAAAAAACCACCAACAAAGGTGGTGTCCGCGCGCGCCTCAGCAACAGCGACTTTGCTGCTTGCAGCAGCAGCAGCAAGTCACCGCTATTGCACCATCCCCATAGCCACGTCGGCACAGTGCTGCTAAAGGCGAGAGCGCCGTTGCCTACCGCTCACGCACATCGACTACATGACACTCACCTGCGCGCACAGTGACTGCCACCACTTCCACAGCCTCTCGTCGCTGTTAGGGAGTAACGATGCCGTTGAATCCCATGACCCGGGCGTACGCAGCGCTGCTAAGTCTGCTGTGGTAAAGTCAATTGTTGAGTCGCCGATGCCGATGACCCCACCTGCTATATCGAGACCAATTGAGCCACCAAGTTCTTCTGTTCTTAGTAATACTAATGTGAAAGGACAAACAGCTCCAATTGGGGCCAACTCTTGGGAAAACGCAGTGGGCACGACTACCCCACGGAAATTACTGTTTCGTCGGTGCACAAAAGCCTCCACTTCTGACAGATCATGATCGTCGGCTCAATCGTGGGCATGGTGGGTGAGAAGAGACGAGTGAGAGAATGAGTGGGGAGAGAGAATATTTTTAGGGTTTGAAATGAACGGGGTTGGTAGGTGTGTAAATTAGTTTTTATTAATTATAATTATTAAAACTTAATTACCACATTATATATGAAATTTAAAATAATCTCCATTCTTTATGAAAATTAATCTTTAAACGTAGGTTTCTTGGTAATTTTTCCTATAAATTTTTTATCTTCTAATTTATTCAATTTCGGATCGGATTATTGGATCAAATATCTAATAATATAGCAAATCGAATATGTGTTTAACAATAAAATATTCGTTGAATTATCGGATCGAATATGGGCAGAGTCGATTCTTATCTTATCCATTTATAGCTCCAAGTATATCTCTATCTCCTACTGTAATATAGAGTGCTTGCTACAAGGTCTAAAATGTCTTAGAGATTATACAAATCAATAACAAACATTTGATGATCAAGCAAATGAAAGACATTAATGACATAACAATCCGAACATGAAAATTAGTCATACAAATTTAAAAGAAAAGAAAAAGGCAAACATTGTAATTAGGTAGGTTAAAGTTAACCTACATCAATCATTCCAACTTTTAGAACTTTTCATGTGTTTGATCCACATTATTTTGGAAGAATGTATTTTGAAATAGTAGATTGATGGAGAATGTATGGTTGAAAAGGAAGGAAAAGTTATTGATGTGATATAAATTATTATTTTATTGAAAGATGTGTGGTTGAAAANCCATAGATTGAACTCCTTCATCCCGAAAACCTAGTGTTTATTGTCAAACTAAGAGCTTGTTTGTGAGAGATTTTTTGGGGAAGAATTGATTTTGAATAGTGATATGATGGGAAATGTGTGGTTGAAAAAGAAGAATAAATTATTGATGTGATGGAAAATATTATTTTATTGAAAAATGTGTGGTTGAAAATGAGAATTGATTTACTATAGAATTCGAGAATAAAAAACAAACACTCACTTAATGTGTACCAAACATGGGCTTTATCTCATAATGAGAAAGTAACAAAACTACAAGAGATTAAGAAATGTATTGGACAATTGAGGAAATAAAAATAAACTAAAATATAACACTTAAAGCATGTCATTTCATTGAATTTTTGGAGTGAAATATGTTGGAAATTATGTCTTGAAAAACGTAAAATCCAAAAATTTCTTGTATGCAGAAGAAAAATCTTTTCTAGGTCACTACATTGCAGATATAAATAGTTAAATATATAGATGTTTAAAGTGGAATACCGATTAATTTCATCTGGGTTATACAATTCTTTGAATCTCCAATTTCATCTGGGCTTCAATTTTTAAAGATTCATTTAAAAAAAAAAAAAAAATTTATTTCCAACCACACATTCTTTCAAAAAATATTGTTACATGTAGAATTAAATTTTTTCTTATTTTTTAATCACATATTGTCCAAATAAAATCACTATTTCAAAACATATTTTCTCTCAAAATCTCAATTTAATAAAGCCCAAACTGGGAGTTATTATCCTTACAAGAAATCAAATAAATAATGTTTGGCTAAATTAACTATTTTACACCTAATTAATTCTTCACTTAAGGTAACATTTTCTTCAACAATTTCCTTGCAATCAAATTGCAGTTATAATTTGACGGTCACTAAATTAAGCTCAGGTTAAAAATGATTAGAAAAATATATTTGAGTGGACTCGTTTACCCTTTGAACTGGGCGACAAATTTCATAAGCGAATTGTCCAACTACGTACTTTGCTTGATTTTAGTTAGCAACGTACTGGTGTATTTGACCCGATAACTAGATCTCACTCATAATTTCCCTAAATTACTTAGTTTTGTTTTAGAACAATAGAAAATGGACCTAAAGACATTTCACTTAAAATAACAAAACATTGCATATTAAAATTGGGTGAGTAAAAATTTAGTATCCATGAATGCACATATGGTTCACAAAAATACAATAATATAATGACTACATAATCCTTGTGATCCAACATGCTCCTCTGTAAGAAGGCTATCAATTGATTAAGTTGGAACCCTCCCACCACACATCATATCTGACAACAAATATTTAGATAAGTCTAGCATCATTTTATTTGATTACAAAAATCATAAATGAGATTATAGGAGGCTCATAAATGATCTCAATTTAAGTGTATAACATTTGCATAGATCCCTATATACTTGTTACCATAATCTACATTGACAATGTTAATCTATAATCATCATACCTATACTTGGAAGTATTATCATTTCATTTCCTCCTAAAATCAAAAATGCGGAAAGATGATTTAATTTTTTTTATTTAACATGATAAATATTAATTACTTCATTTATGAAAATAATGTGCATTTAATTAAATATAGGAAAATTAAATTACATGTTAACTTTATTTTCAAAACGAATTCAAGATATAAATGTGATTGTACTGAGTCTATCGTACTACAAATCATCATCTCGAATCATCTTGCCTTCATAATCTAAAAATGGGGAGGGATAATGTGGGATGAGCTAGTGCTCAGTATGCAAACCTCAGTCATATGATGCATGCTTAAAATATGCATATGAATTACTTTAAAATAGGGGTGTCCAAAAGTCCCGACCCGAACCGAACCGAATCGAGCGGTTCTTCATAAATTAAATACCCGAACGGGTACCCGAATCGAGAACCGATGGGTTTGGGTCGGGTCTCAGGTCTATACCAAGAACCGAAGAATCGAATAAGAACCGAAACTAAATAATTTTTTTATTTTTTATATTGAATTAATTAAATTATTTTATTTTTTTCTAAACAAATTAGCAAATTAATTAAATAAATCAGATTATTTCATAATTTTAATTTTAAAGCTCAAATT